CTGTGTTCATCCAGCTCTACACCTTGTTATCTCAGATTCTCCAGCATCGGCAGTTCCTCCTATCTCTGTAACAACATTCTCTTAGCCTTCCTGATTACCTGCTGCCCCTCTGTGCTGGCTTTCTGCGTTTCATACACAAGTTCCCCCAAGTCCCTTTGTGTTGTAGCTTTCTGCAGTTTCCCCCCCATTTAAATAACATTGTTCTTTTGTTCTCCCTTCCAAAATGAACAACTTCACACTTCTCCACATTATACTCCATTTGCCAACATTTTGTCCACTTACTTAACCTATCAATATCTCTCTGTGAACTGTTTGTATCCTTCTCACAACCTGTCTTTCCAGCTACTTTCGTTCTTATTGGTTCTCATTTCCAGGTCCAGGCTCAGCTTGCCCCTGTTCAAATTGCCTCAGCAGCTTTCTCTGGCAAAGGATCCCACGTACTCACCACTCTTTGGGGGAAGAAATCTCTCTTCGTCTCAGTCCTATATGTCCACACCACTCCATAGAGGGTGAGCTCTGGTACTAGAAACCTTAGAAATACTCGAACATCCTTCCTGAATCTCCACTGTCTAGTCCTGTTAGAATGTTATGTAGTTCTCTTTTTATTCACTGGCAGAATGTGGGTGTCGCTGGCATTTCTTGCCCATCCCTAATTGCCCCTTGAGAAGGTGGTGGTGAGCTGCCTTCTTGAACCGCTGCAGTCCATGTGCTGTGGGTTGACCCACAATGCCCTTAGGGAGGGAATTCCAGGATTTTGACCCAGTGACAGTGAAGGAACGGCAAGATATTTCCAAGTCAGGATGGTGAGTGGCTCGGAGGGGAACTTGCAGGGGGTGGTGTTCCCATGTATCTGCTGCCCTTGTCCTTCTAGATGGAAGTGGTCGTGGGTTTGGAAGGTGCTGCCTGAGGATCTTTGGTGAATTTCTGCAGTGCATCTTGTAGATAGTACATACTGCTGCTACTGAGCGTCGGTGGTGGAGGGAGTGGATGCTTGTGGATATGGTGCCAATCAAGTGGCTGCTTTGTCCTGGATGGTGTCAAGCTTCTTGCGTGTTGTTGGGGCTGCCCCCATCCAGGCAAGTGGGGAGTATTCCATCACACTCCTGACTTGTGCCTTGTAGATGGTGGACAGGCTTTGGGGAGTCGGGAGGTGAGTTACTCGCTGAAGTGTTCCTAGTCTCTGGCCTGCTCATGTAGCCACTGTGTTAATGTGGTGAGTCCAGTTGAGTTTCTGGTCAATGATAACCCCCAGGATGTTGATAGTGGGGGATTCAGTGATGGTAACACCATTGAATGTCAAGGGGCAGTGGTTTTGAAGAAATCTCCCCGAGATTCTGTTCTAAACTCCAGTGAGTATAGACTTAATCTTACTTCGGAAACCTTGTTGATGAATTTCTGCATTGATAGCTGCCAGCCGGCATCTTCTGTAAGTCCCCCTTCCTGTCTTGTTCTGGAAACCATGCAAGTGGAAACAGTTTCCCCATGTTAATGTGGTAGAACCCCACTGATCATTCCAAATCCACTCTCTCCCCCTTACTGCAGTCCTTTCCAGAGTGATCGAGGGAATGCATTGGATTTATATAGCACCTTTCACAACCACAAGGGCTGACGTCAGCATCACAGCAACTTAGGAAATGCAGCAGCCAACGTACGCACAGCAAGATCCCAAGAAAATAGCAGCGACCAGTTCACAATTCCGTTCTCTGGTACACCCTTTTTTGTGAAGAGGAAATGAAATCCTAGCCTAAGTTCTTTTCTAAGCTCCCAAAAAATCTCAATCAAATCACTGCCCTTGCCAGCCTTCTGCACTTGAGAGGATTTAAGCTTAGTTCTCTCCACAAAGCCTGATGCTTTAAAGCCCTGGGAATGATCTGGTGAGTCAATGCTGTACCGTTCTTGCTGTCAACAAACCCCCCACCCATCCCTCCAATGCCACGCCTTTGTGCCAGCACGATGGCTACTGGCATATCGCAGGAGCCAAGGCAGCAGGGTAGGTCAGCCCCCAGTCTCGCAGGAGCCTAGAGAGTCCGGAAAGGATAAAGCAAGCCTGAAGGAATCCAATTCCGCCTCCTGAGAGCTGGCATCTTCAATGTCAACCATTGCCAGTCCAACAGAGCCAACTGCAAATGCCTGCATTGCAACTGTTTACTGTATAAACTGGAACAGATTCTGGGAATATTCACTGTGGAGCTCCACATTGCCTCCAACACACACCATCCCCCTGGACACCACCCCAACGCCTCCTACCCTCCCTCGACCTCTTCATCTCCGACTGCCGTCGCGACATCGGTCTCCCCAATCTCTCCACAGCTATCACTCACTCCAACCTCTCCCCCTCGGAACGTGCAGCACTCCACCCCAAACCTAACCTCACCATCAAACCCGCAGATAAAGAGGGCGCAGTAGTGTTATGGCGCACTGACCTTTACAAAGTCAAGGCCAGGCACCAACTCACATCCTCCTACTGCCCTCTCGATTATGGCCCCATCCAGACCACCAAAACAACATCTCCCAGACCATCCATAACCTCATCGCCTCAGGTGACCTCCCGTCCTCAGCGTCCAATGCCAGTGTTCCCCAACCCCACACCGCCCGTTACTATCTCCTTCCCAAAATCCATAAACCCGATTTGCCCCGGCCGACCCATTGTCTCTGCCTGCTCCTGCCCCATTGAACTTATCTCCACTTACCTTAACTCTGTATTCTCCCCCCTGGTCCGGGAACTCCCCACCTATGTCCAGGACACCACCTACGCCCTCCACCTCCTCAAAGATTTCCAGTTCCCTGGCCCCCAACATCTCATCTTCACTATGGTCATCCAATCCCTGTACACTTGTATCCCCATACGAATGGCCTAAAAGCCCTCCACTTCTTCCTCTCCCGCAGACCCAACCAGTCCCCCTCCACCAACACCCTCATCCGCTTAACTGAACTCATCCTTACCCTTAATAACTTCTCTTCAATTCCTCCCACTTCCTACGGACTAAGGGGGTGGCCATGGGTACCCATATGGGCCCAAGCTATGCCTGCCTCCTCGTAGGATATGTGGAACAATCCCTCTTCCGCAGCTACACTGGCACTATCCCCCACCTCTTCCTCCGTTACATCGATGACTGTATCCGCGCTGCCTCGTGCTCCCATGAGGAACTTGAGCAGTTCATCAACTTTACTAACACCTTTCACCCCAACCTCAAGTTCACCTGGATCATCTCTGATACCTCTCTCTCTCCTTCCTGACTTCTCAGTCTCCGTCTCTGGTGACCACCTCGGAACTGATATCTATTTCAAGCCCACCGATTCCCACAGCTACCGAGACTACACCTCCTCTCACTCACCCTCCTGCAAGAATGCCATCCCCTATTCCCAATTCCTTCGCCTCCGCCGCATCTGCTCCCGAGATGAGGTGTTCCACTCCCAAACATCCCAGATGTCCTCGTTTTTCTAGGACCACAATTTCCCCCCCACAGTGGTCGAAAACGCCCTCGACTGCATCTCTCATGTTTCCCGCACTTCAGCCCTCACACC